GGCCCCTCCATGCTGGACGCGGTGCTGGGCGTCATGGACGCGGAGCGCCCAGGAGCCGCTGCCGCCAAGCCCGACGCGGATCCCGGCTCCGGGACGCAGCACCCCAGGGCCCGCTGCCGCCCCGACGCGGACCTCGAGCTAGACGACGTCATCGGCCTGTAGGCTCCCGGTTCCCCGCGCTCTTACCATGTGGCACTCCACTTCTTTATACATAAACGGCCACAGTCTGTGTCCCGGTTCTGTCTGTTCACTTTGTACGTGGGAACAGGAGTATGATGGGGTCCCAGCGCCTTTAAGAGCCAGGTGTGCCACCTGGAATTCATGTCCCGGCGGAGACCGGGCTGGCCAGGGCAAGGCTGATGATGGGCCTTGAGTGATGGGATGCGGCCCCTTTAAGAGAGCTAGGGGACGTGGCTAGGCGGTCCCCTCTCAGGGGCGGGGTCCCTACGTGGCTGCTCCCACAGCCTCTTTCATTCATCCTGTTGACAGCGCTGCTGACGGACAGACGCCATCCCGCGCGACCTGACTCGCTCCAGCGGCCGGACCGAGTTTAGTGGACGCCACCGGGGCGAGCTGCCCTTTACCCTGGGATCGGCCGCACAGAAAAGTGGTCGAGAGTAGGCGTAGTCCTCTGGAGGGAGGGCTCCTTGTCCCCTAAAGGTGTGTCGGCCCGAGGACGAGGGCGGCAGCTGCATCAAGTCTGGGCGACGAAGTTCTGTCTGAATCTGCAGATAGATGTCTGGTTGTCCCGGGCGTCCGTGGAAGGCGCGACCAGCCGGGGGAGAGGAGGGGACAGAGGGGCTTGGCAGCACCTGCAAATCATTAAGACAGGGGCGGAGCCAGGCTCGCTCAGGCCCAAGGAGGACCGGTAAATCAATTAGGCCACAAATGTAAACCGCTGTCCGCGAAGGGGGCGGAGTCAGACTCCCAGAGGACACCATGGAGGGAGATCCACTTGGGCCCGAGTGCCCTCCAGTGACGTCACAGTCAGGTCACTGTCCGGGTCCGGGCAAAGTCGCCCACCGTGCGGGGCAACCTTGGCGAGACGGGCTCGTCAGCTGCACCCTGGTTTCCATGGCGGCGGCCATTTCTTCCTGTAGGGCTACCGGTCTGCCGCTTCTTCCTTGTAGGGCTGCTGTCGCTTCGGCGCCCGCTGCCGCCAGCCCCACTCCCGGGCCCGGGCTGGGGCTGAGGCCGAGGATGGGTCCGGGGCCAAGAAACCGCTGCTGCGCACGGCCACGGCCGTCGTCCCACGCATCCGCTGGGACCCGCTGCTGGACCGAGCCGACTTTTCGGTGGGCTACTCCGACCGCTTTCTGGGCGTGCGCGAGGAGCCCTTCAGCACTATTTGCTGGGACGAGCCGCTGGCGGTGCTGGTCGAGCCGCTGGCGGTGCTGGTCATTCCGCAGCACCGCGTGCGGTACTTTCACTTCCGCGACTGCGTCATGTGAGACCGCGACCCGAGCACCGATCTTGTCTTCGGATCAGGGTCGGCGGAGAGCCCCGGCCCCACCGTCGTGGACGCACTCGAGGGCGGGGGAGCACACGAGGATGGAGATGCGCACGACCGCGCGGACGCGCACGGGGTCGAGAACACCCATGGGACCAGGCCCTCGAAGGACGGCATAGATGCTGCCTCCACTGGCGCCTAGGCGGGCGGGCACGGAGAGCTGGCTTGGACAGTCCCGAGCAGGTCCTCTGGCGCTGGTGTCTGTGAAGGCCCAGGACCTGGACGGGGCCAGGATATCTCGTAGATGGAACCTGAAAGGGGAACTAGAGAGGCGCAGGTCGTGGCAGCCCCAAGAGACCCTGGGAAATATTAGGGTCCCCTCTCCTTTTTGTCTTATTAAAGGTTTATCATTTCAAGGAACCAGCTCTTGGTTTTATTTTATATTGTTTTTACATAGTCTATTTCTGCTCTTAATCTTTAATTCCTGCTATTCACTTTTGTCTTTTTTTTCTAGTTCCCGTAGGTCAAAGGTTAGATTTGAAAATTTTGTTTCTTGAGGTAGACCCGTATTATGAATTTCCCTCTTAGGGCTGCTTTCTCTGTGTCCCATAGATTTTGGTTCATTGTTTTCATTTGTCTCAAGGTATTTTTATCTCATTATTAACCCATTAATGTTATTTAACCTCCATGTTTGTTTTTCAGGTTCTTTGTTGTAACTCTAAGACTAAAATGTAATGTGGTCGTTGGTCAGAGAGGCCACCGTGGCTAAGGGCGTGCCCCTCACCAACCAGTCCTGTGCACTTTGTGGCTCTGAGGACAGAGCACGGGCTGCGGGCAGGGGTGGCCAAAGCCCAGGAAGAGCTGGTCTGAGCCACGCCATCATGCGCTCCGTTCAGTGCCTGCGCAGGCCCTCCACCCGACGCTGGCCTTGCTGAGGCTGGTGGGGCCCCAAGGTGGCTGCCACAGCCACTGAAGCACTGAGATGTACAATCTCAGCCCACGGACTTCAGGAACCATCGCAGCTTTAGTTTGGGCGGCTGCTGCTCCTGGACTCCTAAGTGCTCTGTGCACCGCCCACCCCCTCCTTGGAATGCATGGCCCAAGTAGCTGAGCCAGAGGCTGGAGGCCCAGGGACTCCGAGTGATACAGCCCCCTGGGGGGCTACACCCCCAACATGACATTGGCCAAGGTGCCCAGGGGCTCCCAAGGCTGCCTCCTTACCACTGGGTACAGCCCAGGGCAGGAGCTGGGGGAGCCAGCCCATGGGGCAAGTCCGGCTGTACCACATGGGGAGGGCAGGGGACACCTACCAACCCCTGGCTAAGGTCCCCTTGGGGTAACAGTCCCAGACCTCTGGGGAAGACAATCCGTGTCAACCCCAAACCACCAAACCACTGGATGATATCCAGCCAAAGCAAGAGGAACAGCGCACTCTCTCTCTCTCTTTAATTTTGGTTTCTCTCAAGCTTCAAAACGGTGCTCAGTGCTCCAAGGAAAGAATGAAGGAAAGAAAGGGGAGGGAGAGGAAGGGGAAGGAAGGCAGAGGAGGGACATCTGGAAAAAAAGCAGCCTGACAGTCCAGCTGTTTGCAAACTCATTGCACATCCTCCAGTTACATGGCAGAAGAGGGAGGGAGGACCAAAAGAAAAGGGGAGGAAGAAGAAAAAAATAACTTAAACACACACAAAAAGAAAAGAGAAGGAAACATGACGTGAGCTGGTGATCCATGAAGGCAGGGAGGGGGAACCGTTTACCTGTGCTGAAACAAGTAGGGGGGAGGAGGAGGGAGAAGAAAAAAAACCAGAAGAAACACTGGGGTGAAGGGAAGGACATGAGACAACTTAGTACAACTGCAGACGAGGCGGCCCGGCTGGCGAGGTCCCGCGTTGGCCTCCGGAATCCTCAGTGTGAGGTGGCGGTGTGGATCTGCTGGTGGTGTGGTGTCGGCGTTTCTGGGGTGGGGGGCCGAGGGCAGGGCGCAGTCTCTATGGGCTCCCCTCGCCCCAAACACTGAGGCCCCGGAGGGCTGGGCAGTAAGAGTCTGTGGTGAGGCAGGCGGGTGGGCGGCAGGGCGGCGTGCTGGTGCCCCCGCCGCAGCGGGCACAGGCGGAGCAGCCTGTCGTCTTCTGCTGGCCCCCCGGCATGGGACAGGCCAGGGTGCCGGGTTGATGCCGGAGTACAAGCTCGAGAGAGAGAGAGAAAAAACACTGAGACAGCATTAGTGGAGGTGCAGGGTGGACACAGACCATGCCCCCACCCTCCGCCATCCCCAACCCTCCTCCCGATCCCACCCCTCTGAGCAAAAAATAAAAATGTAGAAAAAATCTCTGTACAGACTCCCCGATAGGAAAACTGGGGTAAGGATGGTGGCTCTTCCTGGAGCCCACTCCCATAATTAATTTACAGGCCAAGTCCACGGCTCAAAAAACAAAATCTGCAGAGGCAGCTCTGGGGGCCGCAGCCCTGCCCCCCACCCCCGTCGCGCTGGTGCTCAGAAGGCGGACAGCTGCGCCAGGCTGAGGCGGCAGTCGATGCTGGCGTTGTCCGGGCCCGTGTAGGCCAGGCCCAGGGGCTCTAGGAAGGCCCGGCAGGCGGCCTCGCCCTCGAAAGCCAGTTCGGCCTGCAGGTAGGAGATGGGCAGCGCAGGGCGGAAGCTACGGAGATAAGAGGAGAATGTGATGAGGCGGGTGGTGGGTGGGGGGGCCCCACAAGCAGGGAGTGGGTGGCCCCCCCTTCGGATACCCAAAAGGTTTCCTCAGCACGTTACCTGTTGACCTCTCACCCCCGCCCTAGCCTCCCCACCTCTGGGGCTTGGGGGGGCCCGGGGTGGGGCTCATGGCCCCACCCCCAGGTATGCCCCCCTCACCCTCACTTACCTGTGCAGAGGGACAGGGAAGGAGAGGGACAGGAGAGAAGGGCCCAGTTGGCTCCTTCACAGCTCGAGGGCTTGAGCAGTCCCTCAGAAGAGGGCTGCAATGGCCAAGGGGCAGGGGCCAGGCAGAGGGAATGACTCATGGGGACAGGTATGGGACTGAAAAGCTTATTGCTACTCTGGCCCGACCCTCAGGGACCCCAACACTGGGCCAGAGTGCCTCGGTACGTCCCAGACACAGGTGTCAGCCAGCACTTACTACATACTCAGAACAGGAATTTCTGGTTGTCAAGAAAAGACTATAGACTATGAACTTGGCATGTGCCAGGAAAAGCTGTTCCAAGTGCTGTCACACTGACTTACTGAATTCTCATCTGCGAGCCATGTCACCTACCCTTTATAAACAGTAAAGAAAGTGCGGGTCTAAAAGGAGAGCCACCTGACCAGTGTCACCTAGGAAATGGCATAAAGTAATCCTGCCCCAAGTCAGTGCCCCCATGGGTAGGGGCATGGGAAAGCCTGCTGCCCCCACACCTGAGCTGGCCTCCTAGCCACCCAGAGAAAGGCAGTACCAAGTTACGAAGTAAGAAGGCATGAGAGCATGAGGCCAGTGATAGGCCAGGGCCCCTCCCACAAGGCACATTGTTGTGTTCCCACCAGAAGCCAAGCACACATACACTAACACCAAATAGTCAGTGGCTCAGCTATACCATGAGCTCACAAAGGCTCAGGACCTACCCTCAGGGGCCTGTCCAGCTGCACAGGGTGGATTCGGAGGGGCAGCCAGGGTCCTCCAGGCCCACTGCCCCTTCCAATGCCTGGCCTATAGCCAGGTCCTATGCTTCCTCGCCCTGCATGTTTCCACCCCAGGTCCCCTTCTGTTTCAGTGGCCCTTGCCCTGGCTTGGCCTTTCCCTTAAATCTTCTTTAGCTGAACCGGATCCTAGAGTATGTACCTGACCTTCAAGCTGACCATCCCTCCCCAGCTCCAAACCATCCCCATGACCCCCAACCTAATGGATATGGCATTCAAGGCCCCGCGGACCTACCAACCCGACCAGGGGTTCTGATGTGGGGCGCACTGCAGGCTAGTCAGCAGCATCCCTGGTCTCCACCCACGAGAGGCCAGTAGCACCCCTGACTTGTGACAACAAAAGATGTCTCCTAACTGCTCTACGTCCCCATGGGGAGTCTCACTGCCATGAGGACCTCGTGCTCATAACATTGTGGGCACAATTCAGGTCTGGGAGGACACGCCCTTCTTAAGAACAGCCCAGGACCAGCCTGCCCCGCACCGTGCCTGTTTTCCTAAGCTCATTTGCACTCTCAGAGGACTCAAGTGGGGACAGGATGCTGTCCCATGAGACCAGAAGCCACCAAGAGCAGGGCCATCTTTTCTACTTTTTCTCTAGAGCAGGAGCCCAGTGACAAGAACTGAGATACAAAGATTGGACAGAGACCTCGCAGGGAGGAGCCTAGGGCCTGAAATAAGTTGCAGACCAGCTAGGGTCACAGTTATCGTGAGCAGAAGAAAGAGAATAGCAGGGGTGGAGAGGGATCCCGGAGCAGTGAGACAGAGAAGATAGAAGACAGAGACAGAGAAGGACCAAGACGAGGGGGTCTGCAAAGGGAAGGAAAAGTAGAAGGTGCTGTGAGTGGGAAGAAAAGAGGAGAGATTGGGAACGGGAGCCTGAGGCCCACAGGCCAGCAAGAGTGAGCAGAGGAGAAGGCGGGAGAGCCCAGCGGCACATACGTTTTGATCATGGCTTTGAGTGCGGCCTTGCGCTCTCGGTCTGCAAACTTGTCTACGAGGTAGCCAGACATACAGGGTGCGTGGCAATACAGCCGGAAGAAGCGGTGGTAGTTGCCCAGAGCCCAGGCTGCCCTGAGCGCCAAGGCATGGGCCACGCAGGGATCCGTCTTCAGCTCCCGTGTCAGGTACGCCAGCTCCGTGGTGATGTCTGAACCCAAGACAAAAGGTCAGTGGGGCCCAACCCTAGGGCCTGGAGCTGCCAGTCCGCAGCCAGTCCTCTCACCTCCTGAGTTCTTGGTGAAGATGTAGTAGAGGATCCGATAGGCGGTGAACTCGCCCACGTTGCCTGCCAGGTTCTCTGCATACAGCGACTTGAGCTGCGTCTGGCACTGGTTGAACTCCTCATGGTCACCCTAGTGGCAAGAGCAAGGAGGGAAAGGAGGAGCAGAGTGAGGCCAGGGAGAGAGCTGAAGATAGGCTGGGCCCTGTCAACCTACTTACCTTCTCCAGTGCAATGCGGGCGTGCGTCTCATATACCTCCACAGTGAACTCCGTGCGCACGCCTTGCACCTGGGTGGCGGGGAGAGAGGAGTCAGGCCAGGCCAGGGTGGGACGTGCCCCACCGGGCCATCGCAACCCTGCCTCACCGTCAGGTCCTGCCGGATGGACTTCATCTGCTCACAGGCGAAGGCATAGTCCTGCTTCTCTTTCCAGTGGGACTTGACCATGCACAGTGACTTCTTCAAAACCTGGGAAAGAAGGCAGGCTGAGTGGGATGGGCCGCAGGGCAGGGGCAGACAGAACCTGTTACAGTTCCGCTAACTTGGTGTTTCACATGAGGGCTGTGACATCAGACCACTCAGGGACTTGCTACCCCCATGAACAAGAACTCTGACATGAACAAATAAGCGCTCCTGACCCTGGTGCCATGTCAGCACCCGGTGTGTGCTCCGCCTCGCATGGAACGTCCACCACTGTCCTGTCGGTCTCAGTGAAGAACACTAGGATCTTTCTCCCTGTCTAGGACAGAGACCCAGAGACTGAGCAAGTCTCCTGACAAGGCTGCACACAAGGGACTCAGGGCTCCGAGGCACGAGCTGTCTCTAGCCCACTTCTCTCAGCACCTACCTGGCCAGCTGGGTTCCCATGGAGGACTTGCCCTTCCCACTGACACTTACTGCCACAGGCCGTACGGTGGACGGGTCGGGGGCACAGGTGAGTCGCAGGTAGTGCTTGGTTACATCAGGGCAGGTGCCCACAATCTGCAGCTCCTGCCAGTCGGGGTCGGCCCCGCAGCTCTCCAGGCCGCCCACCTGAAGCACCAGGGGCTCAAGGCGCAGGCGGCGGGAATGTCCATGCTGGAAACGGGCCGCCCGTTTCTGCTTTTTTAGCTCGCGCTCTGGATCCTCACATTCCAGCGCCACCATCCTCTTGCGGTTACGCTTGGTGGGAGCTAAGTCATGCCTGTGGAAAGGGGTCCAAAGGAGGAGGTGGGCATTTGTGCACTATCTGGTCTGGTCACAGTAGTGGCCAACTATCTGCCTCTCCAGTGTTCCCCAAGGGCACAGCCCCTGCTCCGGCCACCCGCCCAAAGGTTTACCTCTTCCCACGCTGTGCCCTGCCTCGGCCCCGATCCATGTGGGCCCCTCGACCCCCCCGGCCCTTGGGGGGCGGGTTCCTGCGACCCACAGGCTGACACTCATTCCCTGAGTAGGAGCTGTCAGAGTCCGAGTGCGAGTCACTGCAGAAGAAACAGAAGAGTGAGGCCCAACCTGGCTCCCCCACAGGCCCATCCCACCTGGAGCCAGTGTACCTGCGGCGGAAGTGGCGGGTAGGGGACCGGGAGGAAGAACGGGAGCGCGAGTCAGTGCTGGAGGAGGAACTGTGGTCCTTCATGAAAACATTGCGGTTGCCAAACTTGGCAAAGCTGCTGCCCCGCGCTCGGCCGGCTCCCCCAGCCCCTGGTGTTCCACGCTGAGACTGGGCGCCCCCACCCCTGGTCACAGTGCCTGCTCCCCTGGGAGGGTGGAGGCTGCTGGGGGCCTCCCACCGCTTCTTCTTAGGGCTATCAGCCACAGGGTCCCGAGTCAGCCTGAGGACAAAGCAGGGCAGGACATCACCAACCTGTACTCCCACAACCCTGTCTGCCCCCTGCCCCAGGGACATGCTGCCCCAGGTAGGAGAGCTTCCCCTAGGCAACTCAGCTAACACGCCACAGGGGGAAGCAAACCCAGGCTCTAGAGAGTGCCTATGCCATACACACACCTACTCCTCACCTCCTCAGCCCCACCCCCTGCCTGCCCAGGAAAAGGTCCCAACCCAGGCACCCAGGCAGCCCTCACCCGGGCAAGGGCTCCCGGCTCCAGTCAATGGTGTAGGCCGAGCCGTCTTGGAGCCGGGCCTGCAGCACCTCCTTGAGTAGCTTTTCCGTCCGGTCCTTGTCTTCCTCCGACTCACAGGCTGTGAAGCAGCGCTCCACATACTCCTTCATATCCTGTGGCCAGTCGTCAGGCTTCCCAGACAGGCTCCCCCTGGGTGAGGGAAGAGATGGGCTCAGCTGGGGTGCACCCACCCCAATGAAGCCTGTCGTCACTACCACTGGATCCGATGTATGTGCCACACAACTCCAGTGTTTCCTCTTCCCTCCAGTTCAACACTCATGGCAACCCTGAGGGAGAGCCTTCACCCTCCCTGAGAAGGCAGCCAGACACTCAGGGAGCAGAACCTGCAGTGAGCTGTACATGGGTGCTAAGCATGGAGGTAAGGGGGCCGTCACCTGTGGTTCTGGGCCTTCTCAGGATTCGGCTGGGGGCCAAAGCCGCTGTGTTGGCTCTCTGAGGTAGAGCTGAAGTTCTGGCTGGTGACAGCAAAGGGCCGTTTCTGAATGTTAAACTTGAGACCACCAGTCCCAGGGGCAGCTGTGAAGGCAGCGAAAGCTGGGGTTAGGTCTACCCTGGGCCCCCTGGAGCTGCTTTAACCCCAAGAATGGATGGTTGCAGCTCCAAGTGGCCACCCCACGGCTGTGGGACCATCCCAGCACCCAGTGCCTCACACCCTCATTTCCCTGTGTTGCCCTCTTACGCTTCATGCGGTTCCACAGCTGCTGGCTTTTCTTGGGCTTAGCGGGCTCAGTGTAGGCGTGTGGCCCGTAGGCCTGGCCTGAGGTGGGCCCTGCCTGGCTGTGCTGTGTGGCTGGGGCCGTCCCAGGCTGGGGGCCACTGTTCAGAGCATGAGCCCCGTGTGGGGCGTTGGAGGGTTGAGGGGGCTGGGCCGTGGGCAGCTGCTGGGGGGGTGCCTGGTACGACATGCTGTCATCCATGCCAGGGACCGGGGGCTGTTGGAGGAAATGGTGCTGAGGGCAGGAGCAAAGCTCTGCGCTGCTCTCTCACTGTCCTCAATCTAGACAGCGCTCAGTTCTCAGCTCTGCTGTGACCTCAGCCTGAGGTGCGATCTCACAAACCGCCCTCCACAGGGGAGAAGGCTAGGTGCAGAGCTCCTTTCCTGTGGCCCCAGCTGCCAGGGGCAGCGCCCCCAGTGGTTACAAGCTGAGCATGTGTCCTAGGCCAGTGAAGGTGCACATAGGATCACACACACTTGCAGGAGGAACCCCAAAATAACACAGTTGCCCCACCCACTCTCCGAGCTGGGAGGTCACGTGGCCTGTCTTGTAATCACATTGCCAGAGAGAGTGCCGAGATTCAAACCAGGGTCTAACCACCTCCCAGCACTGCTCTCTATTCTGCCAAGGTGCACATTAAGTGAAAGGCCAGAGTGTCTGTGTGTGTGTGTGAGTGTGTGTGTCTGTGTGTGGGGGGGGGGAGACTGTGATTGTGTGCGTGAGTGCATGTGCAGGAGGAACACAGAAGACAAGCTGCTCCTACCATCGCCCCAACAGCCCAGGCCCTGGCCCTGCCCAAGCCCTATACCCATCCCGGTTTCGAGATCCCTGCTCCACTCTCATACTCACAGCAGGACTTGCTTGGCATCAGCAGGAGGGAAAGGTGGGGAGTCAACTTTAACGCAGGTGTCCCCATTGCTAGCTCCCTCAGAAAACAACACCCCCAGCTGGAACACGACCCAGAATCAGGTTGGGGTGTTGGTTACCTGGTTCAGAGCCCCTTGGTGCTGGGGGGCAGAGGGCTGCTGAGGTGTGGCGGAGCCGTAGGAGCCAGCCATCCCGTACTGTGAGGAGCCATAGCTCTGGTACATGCCCTGCCAGGGCAGGAGGGAGCGTCAGTGGTGGACTGGTACTCCCTCCACCTGCCACTCAGCAGCCGTACGCAGTCATGGCCCTCCCACACCCCTCACCCCTCAGCCCTCTCTCTCCACGACATAAATGCACCAAATTCTATAGTAAAAAATTACAAAATAAAAGGAAAACTATCAACTCTACATCCCACTTCTGCTAGTTCTCAGAGGCATTTCTCTGTTCCCCAATTCTTTACTGAGTGCCAACTCTTCTAAGTACTACCATAGAACAAAAGCAAGAGGTAAAGGGCCACGCTCAAATGAAGCTGGCACTCATAACACAGGCAGTTATGACAAACACGTAACACGTCAGCAATGCGTGCCACGAAAGAAAAGGCCGAGGGAAGCAGCAGAGTGGCTGGGTGCGGGGGAATATTCCTATAGTTTCTCATAGAAAAGCGCTCTCTTTAGGCATCACCCGGGCAGCACCCTGGGAGGTGGGGACACAGCAAGGTGTTGCACATAGGAAGGAGAGCAGCCACAGAGCACCAGTGACCTCACTGTGGGAAGATCAGGGTCTCTGTGGTAGCTGTGGAGTCAATGTGGGAAGAGAGGTGGTTGGAACCAGATAAAGCAAGGCCTGGTGGATCACAGGTGGCCCTGGGAATTAATCTTGTGGGCGATGAGCTACTGGGGGGTTTTCAGCGGTTGGCTGTCACAATGTTTTCAATCCATCCACAACCCAGGACCCACTCCAGTGGACCCTCCTGCTCCAGGGGTTGGGCACTCACCATGGGGTAGTAGTAGCTATAGGGATAGGCGTAGCTGTACTGCTGGTACCACTGGTAGTACTGCTGCTGCTGTAGAGCCGCGGCTTCCGCCTGGGACACATACTGCGGACAGAGGCCCACACGCTGTCAACCTCAGCAGCAGGAGCCCACGGACCTATCTACTGGTTAACTGCCAAGGAACAGAACCTGGCATCTCTCTCCACAAATAGCCACCACCCCTACCAACGGACTTGGTCACCTTAGGGACCGCAGGCACATCTCCCTCTTCAGGTAGGATTCCCAGGGATAAGGACACATGGTGCCCTGGATGCTTCAAGGAAACAGTCCTTGCTTCCCCCACACTAGGGCTCTGAGAATATTTTCAGAGTACTCTGACCCAGTGATACGAGAGGATGCCAAGTGTATCCCTCCCCGAGAAACCCCTCATCAGGAGGCCTAGACTGTGCAGCCTTCTCACCTGTGCGCTGGCCACAGGACCATTGGTGCTAGCCTTGGCAGAGCTGCCAGCAGCACCCGCCTTGCTGATGCTGGCCAGGGCCTGGCGGGCCTTCTCCCACTCGGGGTTCTCGTGCATGGGTGTCTCCATGCCGTTCTCTCTGCCTGCCCCAGCCACCATGCTGTACTGAGAGGACCTGCAGAGTGCAGATGCTGAGTCAGGCTGCTCTCCCCACTGCACACAGTGGGCAAGACAGAGAAAGGTAAACACCAAGGCTGCCATCCCAGATCTCCCTCTATCTGTTGCAAATAAATTTCCTAATCTGTGATATGCTGATGACCAGCATGTTTCACTTTTCTGTGAAGAATAAATGAGATGACCCACTTAAGGTACTTTTCCAGGTACCTGGTATACAACATTTGTTAAAAATCAAACACAATGATTAACAGTATCCAGACCACTTAGCATGGGACCCGGTACCTAGTAGGTCTAAAAGCTTTAGAAATCAGCGAATCCTATCTAACACCACTTTAGTCGGCAGGTAATAATTACACCATTTTGGAAAAAATAAGGAATTAAAGATAAATGGCTGAGGCAGTTGGAGGCTGCCTCCTAATCACAGTTCATTGAATGAATCACCAATTTTGCAAAACAAGCACTGTACTGTGAAAAATTAAAGCTCAGAAGGCTTGACTTTGTCCACACTACAACCAAATGCTTCTTTTACCCTCCCTCTTGCCAGAAGTCTCAGCCCCATTCCCACCACCAGGGACTGCTACATCACCCACTCGACTCTGTGTGAAGTTCCATCCCAGAGGATGGGCTGGGGCTGGCTTCCTCTTGCCCTCCCCTCCGGTCACTGCCCCTCTAACCCACTAACCAGTCCGTGTTACGTTGATCACCCACGTTGGCCGCCATCTGGACCCTGGGGTGTAAGGGGTGGACTTCGGGAGCCAGACTGCTTTTTCACTGTCTGTGAGAAAAAGAATGAATTAGGGAAACTCAAGAGAGCAAGAAACACACCACAAAGCAGGAAAGAGAAGTACGCGGACTCACGAGAAGCTAGGCAGAAAAGGGGAGTTTGAGAAAGGATCCCCTGGGGCAGAGAACTGAGGAGAATTCTGGGTGTGGAAGAAAAAGGCTGTGTGAGGGGGAAAGCTGGGCCTCTCTGTGGCCCTCCGGGAGGAGAATGAAGGATGTGACAACAGGTAAGTCTAGAGAAATTTTCCGAAGGTAAACAGAAGAACCTGAAACCCATGTGAGAAAGGGAAGGATTGGAGGGAACCCTGAGCTAGACAGGGAGGTCAAAGAGTGGGATGGGGGACCTCAGTCAGGGGTCCGAGAACTCCTGAAAGGAGGCAGAAGAGAGAGGACGCTCCCAGAGCCCAGTGAGGGTGGACCCTGAAGGCTGGGAGGCTTGGAAAGATTTCTGAGAATTCTGTAAGGAGGGAAGCATCTGAGGGCACCTCAACATTGAGAAAGAAGAAAAATAACCTGAGAGGAAAAGGGGATTTCTGGAAGTCACAGCTAGAGGCAGGGAGAAGTTGAGGGTGCACCAGGGGAACGCCAACATAAAGAAGAGAGTTCCTAGAAAGCTCTGCAAGAGCGACTTCTAATAGGTCCCCTGAGGGCAGTGAAGAACCCTACCTGGGACGTTTCTAGAAGGGCACCCTGGGAGACAGTAGAGGCAATCACCTAGGCTGAGAGTCTGTAGAAAAAGCTTTGGGAATGCCCAAAGAGACCCAAAACATACCCCAAAGTCTACAGTGAGGTGCAGAGAAATACAAGAAAGTAAATGGGTGTCTTGGGGTCAAGAAATGGGGGCCTAAACTTGGGATAACTGACAAGTTCGGGGGGGGGAGGGTCAAAGGCGAATCCTGCTCAAGAACCCGACAATCCACCAAGTGAGGGGGTACGAAAGTCTAGAGCTGAGGAAAGCCCTAAAAAAAAAGTGTTAAAAGGGGAAAAGAACCAAGGGAAGCAGATGTTCATGAGCTGGGTAGTGGTGAGATGGGACAGGAAAGAAACTGGGGGTAAGGCGTAGGAATAGTGGCCGGAATGAGGGTCCTGGGCAGGTCTAGGGATGGAGGCAGAAGCCGGTGGAAGGCGAGGGGCACCTGGCCGTCCAACGGGCGCGGGGAAGGCAAAGGAGGGCGCCGGGTGGAGGAAGAGCCCACCCGATCCCTGCGACTGTCTGGCCCGAGAGCCACAGCTCCGAGTAGCGCCGCGCGTGCGCACCACGTTCCCGAGAAGGTGTCTGGGCCACCTGTTACCCGGGGCAACGCCGTCCTCCCGGTGGAACCGCCTAGTGAATGAGAGTTGAAAGAAGGAGCGCTAGGAGCCCAGAAATTCCAAGGGTCCGGCGGGGAGCAGGGACCAATTACACAGGCACGAGAGTGCGCAGCCGCGCGCCTCAGCCCTCGTGCGCAGGCGCAGTGCCGCCTGTGCCCGCCACACCCTGTAGACGCTCGCACGCGCGGCGTCCGTTGGGGTGACAGTCACCGAGGCCTCGGGGCCCGCGGGGCGTAAGGCCGAAAGGAGACGCTGTGCCCGCCCGCCGCTCCCGACACCCACCTCGGCCGTTCACCTGCGGAACTCGGCAGCAGCGACCCAAGGCGATAGCAGCACAGCCGCGGGACTGCTCACAAACCTGCTAGCGTCTGTCTTCTTTGGGCTTCGACGTCCTGACCGCGGCGTCCTGACGTCACGCGGAGGCCTTGCCCCGCCTTCCTCGACTGTGCTCAGCCAATGGCCGCTGCGAGCTTGACTTGGGCACGCCCTTCCCCGCCTACGCAATGACGCGATAGGCATTTTAGGGAAGCCGGAAGACAGGGTGGGGACGGTGGCCCCGAGGGGACACGCACGGCAGAACTGGGTCCTACGCCTTTCCGCACAGCACTGTTTTGGCTGGGTTCTGGTTAGCCGTCATTATCATTCCTAGCTATGAACTGGGGTGGTAGTAATTGTAAGACTGCCTACCGTACAGGGATGTGCGAGCCGGGATAGAGAATCACGAACTCAAAGGAGGGGGATGGGTGAGAACTGGCTCCACCGGCAAGGGAAGCTTCTCTAATAAATAAAACCCGAGCGGCGCAGCTGGCGGAGGGAAGGGCGCGTTCGAATCTATGGAGGCGGGAAACAAGCGCAGCTTGCGGGGCGCAGAGGGAACTGGTACGGTAGAGTCGTGGGAGTCCTGGGGTGAACAGGTGGGTCCGCAGCTGTGGCAGGGAGCAGGTCCAGCAAGGCCAGTGATGGCAGGCTGAGGAGTTTGCACCATCCCTGTAAGCAGGCCTTTCTTTAAACTTCTTGTAACTTTTCGCGTGTGATGCCCTCCGTTTCCACCCAGGACCCTGGCAAAATTACCCGGTCGGGTTCAGGGGCCGGTCGCCGTAGTTACAGCAAATAGTGGAAGAGGCTGCTGGCTGCCTTTCCGTTTCCAATTGCTATGAAATTTTCTATTGTTAAGTATCATGTTGTTGGCTGTTAGCATACGTGATCTTCCAGCTTTTTACTTTATTTTTACTTATTTATTTACAAACATTTATTTATTTGTTTATTTATTAGGCAAGGCAACCCTTGGTTGACCTCACAGATTACAAGGACCTTGTCAGCTTACAATCTCTTATTTTTTTTATTTTTTACGCCTACAGCACCTGGTCTCCCATCCAAGTACTAACCACGCCCCACCCTGCTTATCTTGCTTCCCGAGATCATACCAGGGTCTGGCTTGTTCAGGGTAGCATGGCTGTAGACTACTTTTTTTTTTAATTAACCTTTGTGTTTTAGAATAATTTTGGATGCACAGAAAAGCTGCTGAGAGAATTCAGAGCCCTGCACACCCTACATCCAGTTTACCCCAATGCCAGCACCTTACATATTATAATATATTTGTTAAAACTAAGAAATCCACGTTGGCACATTACTGTTAACTAAATAACAGACTTTATTGGAATTTCATCACTTTTTCCACTCGTGTCTTCTTTGGGTCCAATCCAGGGGACCACACTTGCATTCAGATCCCTTTACTTTTAACAATTATATTGAAGATGGGTTTCTTGTAGACAGAAAGACAGGATTTTTCTTTTTTACCAGAGCATACAGTCTCTGCCTTTCAAATGACATGTTTATAACTCTTCTTTTAATATGGTTATCGGTGTGATTACACTCATCTTGCTATTGGGTTTCTATTTGTTCATCTTTTTTTGTTCCCCTTTTCTTTTTCTGCCTTCTTTTGGTTTGAGCATTTTTAAAAAATAGACTTTATGTTTTAGAGCCGTTTTAGGTGGGGCCTTAGGAAAGTGCTGTGCCTCAGTTGCCCTCCCCTGTCCCGTTGGGGGAAATGTCTCAGGACCAAGGCCATGGCAATTTCAGGGCTTGCCCTGATGTTTTCCATCTCTCGGAGATCACTCTCTTCCCTTAACTGATGTCTAGAGTCTTGAGTACCGTTGTTTCATGTGTTTTGTCTGGCTTTTTGCTTGTTTCAGGAAGGAGAGCAAATCCCGTCCCTGTTACTCCATCTTGGTTGGAAATGGAAGTGCTCACATGTATTGTTTTAAAATGAGATTTACCTTTTGTAAAGGTAGGCAAATGCCCTTTTTCTTGGTTGAAGCCTGATGAGTAAAGATTGCTGGCAGGCTGTCTGGCAGGAAATCAATGGGCCTGAATCTGGGGGTACTTTGCCAACATCCAGCACATCAGAACATTTCCGCTTCTGGGCAGTGTCGATAGAGGGCAGTGTCTGAGAGCAGAGCAGACTAGTCTGTGTGTCCCCAGAGTCTCACAGCTCAGTCAGAAGAAAGGTGGCCCCCAGCGCCCCCTGGCTGGAAACTGTAGTCCTTTTCTCTTTCCCAGTTTCAGGCCCACACATCCAAAGCTGCCTTGAATATTCCTTGCAGTGCACTAGATAGAAATGATAAGTGGGCATGGAGCAGTCCCCAGGGCAGGTCCCTCGCTGGATACCTGGCATGGGACACTCTGGGCCGGCAAGCCCTGATCTGGAAGCTCTTGGGGCCATATATGTGTTTTAGGATCTGGGATTGAGTTTTGAGAGGTGATGTGGCTTCTAGTCCACATAGTACACTGTGTCCTCGGTACCCTGCCTGGCACTTAGGAGTAACTCCATCAATGTTTCTGCAGGAAATAGGTGAACATTCCCACCAAGCAGAGAAATTGCCTGTCAGTGACCTATGCCAGGACAGGTCAAGTTCTACTGCCCAGGGAGTCAGGGGAGAACCTCTGGTTTGACAGCTCTCTGGATTTGGGAATTGACAGAAGGATCTGGGGAGCTGCCTGTGACAGCATCTGACAGATGAGGCAGCCAAGGCCCACAAGGGCAAGAGGCTGCCCATGTCCCTTAACCATAGGCTTCCCTTTATTTGTCTACTCCACTACTGTTGGTGTCACACCCACCTCAAATCTCCCTTCTCTTAGGCTTTCCCCTGAAATCCCAAACCCACCCAAGAGCTGCCATGTTTCCAGAGAGCCCTGCTGTGCAGTGACTTAAAGCAGGGGACCCCCAACGCCTGCGCCACTGACCAATACCAATCTGTGCCCTATTAAGAACTGGGCCACGCAGCAGGAAGTGAGCAGTGGGCGAGCAAGCAAAGTTTCATCTGTATTTGCAGTTGCTCCCCAGCGCTAGCATCACTGTCTCAGCTCCACCTCAGACCATCAGGTATTAGATTCTCACAGGAGCACTGGTCCCTGGTACCAAAAAGATTGGGGACTGCTGGCTGAAAAGATTCATCTTCTTTATGTGGACTTCAGTTTCCAGGGGTTAGCAGATCGAAGCATTGTTGCAAGAAGCAGCCCTTAATGTCCATCCTTAGGCGCCTCTGCTTTGTTTTCATAGATTGATTCTCAAAGACCAGACTGCCAGCTCAAAGGGTCTGTACCTTTTTGATTTTACCCCATGCTAGATGTTTTCTGAAGGATTGCCTTTTGCAGCCTCAGGACCAGCACGTTGGAGTGTCCGGTTCCTCCACATCCTTGCCAGCTTGGAATGTTACCACTCCTAGTTTTATGAGAACTGGGTGGTGAAAAAGTTTTTTGTTTCACATTGCTCTTGCTATTAGGTTTTGGACGTGTTTTCATCTGTTCGCTGGTGTCAGGATTTTCACTTCATTGCATGTTCATCCTAATTGCTTATTTTTAAATTAGGTTGCCTTTTTTTTTTTTTTTTTAATTTGTGGAAGCTTTGTAGATTACATTTATATGTTAAGAATTATATATATTTTTTTTGTTGTATGTGTTAACACACACAATTTTCCCTAGACTATCAATTTGTCTATAGTATTTTTTTTTTTTGTTCTACAATTTGTCAACTAAATTACCTTTTCCTTTCTGGCTTGAGGATATATTGCTTAAGATCCGCCCCCTCCAAGCAAGACATACAATGTACAAAATTCTCCTTTCTCTTCAAATACTTCTGTCCCTATACTTGTTTATGTTTAGATTTTTCACCCATCTTGTACGTAGAGTATTTTTTTCCAAATAAAGAACCAGTTGTGAAACCAACCAGTCTTTTTCACGCTGATTTGAAATCTGTTTTCTGTCATATATACACACACCGAGACCCATTTCTAGGTTGTCTATTTTGTCCCAGGGATGACTGTCTCTTCCTGTGTCAGGACACGTTTATTGCTTTTAGAATCCTGGAGAGGGCATGTTTTTCTAAATGAGAACAATCCTGACCGCTGCAGAGCCTGGTCAGGAGCAGAAACACCTGGCAGCCAGGAGGCCGAGGTGAGGGGTCTCCTTACCCCAACCAGAGGCCAGACCAGGCCGGGGAGAAATAAGAAGGATCCAGCTGCTTGTAAAATAAAGTCTTCCCTTTTATTTCAAATCAACCCATTCCCAAATTAGTGCCACAATTTGAGACTGAGGCCCTAAGCCCACCTGGGGGTGGTGGCGGCAGGGGTATTCATGTCCCTTCAAGGGTGGGCCAGGCAGTCAGGGAGGAGGACCCCTTCCCCGGTCAGCCCCAGGCCCTGGCCTGCCCCCTCAGCCTCTCCCAGGGCTAAGGGCACAGAGAGGGATCTGGGCAGGGAGGCCATCCTGTTTGGGATGTCCATGGCTAGGGCTGTTGGTTAGTGGTGGCCCAGTCAGGCTGGATTAGTGGGGTCTTCTCCGGCAGCCAGGGAAGGAACTGCAAAGAGAAGCAGAGTCAGCATGGGATGCTGGTCGGAGGGCCACCACCGTGCCCAGAGTGGGAGAGGACAGAGGCCAGCTTCGGAAGCTGGGGTGTCACTCTGGAAGCTCACCAGAGAGGAGAGGCAGGCTCCAGTCTAACATGGAGGGGCTCAGATAGATGACTGCCACTGCACAAAGCGCTTGGATTCCTGGGGGGTGGGTGGGGAGTCAGAGGAGGGCAGGACATGGGAATTGGCTTTGTAATGTGGGCCCCCAGCCCCACTTCCCTCAGACCCTGGAGTCCAGGCACCCAGCCCCTCCTCTCTCAGAGGAGTCTGGCCCCCGGCCCCTCCTTCCTCTGACCCAGGGGTCCAGTACCTGAGGGTTGAAAGGGTCGTCGTCGTCTGTGTCATCGTAGTCATCACTGGGGTGCAATGCAGGGATCCATCAGGATGCGCCCCCCACACACAAGACCCTTGAGGGTACTCCCTCCCCCATCCTCTCCCCAGGACCCTGCCCTCTCCCCTCCTGACCTGGGCGGGAACAGGGCCCAGGCTCGGGGCAGGCTGCAGAGGGCAGTGGCCAGGGCCCCCGCAGACAAGAGGGAGAAGAGCAACAGGAAGAGGAGGCCTTCCAGCACGTCTTCACACAGGCCGCGCAAGGCTGCACCGTAATCCTGGGGTGAGTAGAGAGAGGGCATCAGTGGGCAGTGCCCCCTCACTCCCCCAACAGTGTGTGTATGACTCAGACTATCCCCTGGCTGTGCAGTGCTGGACAAATCACTCAGCTTCTTTGTGCCTCAGTTTCCTCCCTGTCATACGTGTTCAGCATAGAGCCTGGCACACAGGAAGCACTCAGTGCACAGTAGATACTGTGGCCACTGTCATTATCATACCTGCACGTATGAATCCAAATCTCAGCCTCTTGTCTGTCACTGAGACCCCACCCCCACCCCAGCCCCTAGTCACACCACCAGCTTGGCTGTGGTTTATCACATGGCTGCTCAATCTGGAGGCTCTGATATCATGATTCAGGTCATTCTCCCTTGTGGGATCAGCCAGCGCACTGTCTGATATTGAGCAGCATCCAGGGCTCTATCCACTAGATGCCAGGGGCAGCCCCTCCCCAGTCGTGACAATCAAACGTGTCCCCACGCATTGCCCAGTGTCCTCTGGGCAAAACCACTGGCCTAGAACACTTAGAACAACTCTTAGAAGAATCGCTGGCTCAGAATACCAGCTTGCGCATAGCAGTCAGTAAATGCTAGCTGTCGTGGCTTCATCACTGCAAATGAGCAGGGCCCCCATTTCCTAACTACGGCCATTACTCAGCAAGGACTGGCTGAATGCCTGCCCTGAGCTGGGCATCGCTTCACATTTTGGGAGACCAGGCACCAGGTCCCCAAAGGTCACTTCAGGCCATGACGGGCTGGAGAGAGGCAGCACTGGGTCTTGACAGGAGTGATGGCACCTGCAGGAAGGAGCTGGGCCAACGGGAGGTCGGGAGTGCTAAGGCCTCAGGGCTGCTGCGGCCCTTCAGGAAGGGGTGCAAGAGGGGCAGAGGCTAGGACCAGCCAGATGACCACATAGGCCCTTGTAGTTCTGGCGACAATCCGGGGCTTTAATCCAAGTGTAGAAGAATCATGGCGGTGGTGGGGGCGCAGTTAAGCAGAGGAAGAACTTGATCGGATTATGTTTAAAAGGCTCACAGCTGTTGGTTGCTGCTGGGAGGACAGATGGGGGCAGGATAGCAAGGAGATAGGGCTAAAGGGCTGTGGCCACTGGGCAGGAGATGAACAGGGCAAGGACCAAGGTAGCAGTGGTGATGGTATGAGCCGTGTTGAGTACAGATGAGTTTCAGATGGTTGAGGGAGGTCAAGGGAAGCAAAAGGGATCCTTCTGGATTTCTGGCTTAAGCCCCTGCGTGGGGGTGGGGGAAGCCTGGTACTGAGCCATGAAGTCTGGGGGAAGGGCTGTCGGGGCAAAAGGGAATGCTGCTTTGACCGGATCAGACAGGTGCATGTTGTCCTTTCATCCTGCTATCAGCCTTGCAAGGCAAAGATCAACTCCTCCTCACAATGCTGCCTTTTGCCATGGTGGAGTGTTGAAGCCCAGAGAGGGTAAGCCACTTGCTCAGAGTCACAGCATGGGAAGGGCAAACCTGGGATTGGAACCAAACATGTCACTCTCCAGAGCCCACCCTCCTGCCACCTTATCCCTGATGCTCTTTGTCCTGATTTTAATATGTGGGGACCTTGAGGCTCAGACAGGGGAAACTGAGGCCCAGGGTCACACAGTGTATCAGTGGAAAGCAGAGAATTGACCCATCCTCCTCCTTCTCTTTCTTTCCTCCTTTGCAATGGACCTCGGGCTATAATCCAGCCTTATGTCTGACTGGACCATAGAGAAATACATAGAGAAATACGTGGGCCCCAATAAAAAAGCAGCATAACCTTTAAGAATGCCCTGCCTTTCTCAGCTCTATTATTAGGCAGTTCCGATTGTTAATTCACGGTCCCCATGCCCCCACATTAGAGTGCCAGTTTCAGAAGCTTGGGGGCAGCAGGAGCCATGGAAGGGATATGAACATGGCATGGAGCAGCTTAGACCCGTCCTATGGGCTAGATGGGTCCCTCTGGGGGTTGGGTTGCCAGATCAGACACAGGACCGCCAGTTAGATGTGAATTTCAGATGCCAGCAACAAAAAAAACTTAACACAAGTGTCTTCCCAGGTGGCATGGGACACCCAGTAAAAAGGCATTTGTTGTTTGCTGAATCTGGCAGCCCTAGTTGAGAGTCCATGGCATACAGCTAGGAAGGGGAGGAAGTGTGTATCTTCTTGGGGTGTGTGTGTGTTGAGGGGAGACAAGGCCTGAGCTCCAGCAAGCCCTTGGGGGTGGGAATGGTAGATAAAGACATTCAGGAAGCAGACTGCCTGGGTGACTGCCTGTCTGCGGGGGCTCAGGAACTGAGGGCCCGATGGTCTCTGTCTCCATAGTATGCACCCGCCAGCTGTGTGACCTTGGGTAACCCAACCCTCTACATCTCACCTAAGACAGACAATAATAGCAGTTCCTTCTTGACAGTGTTACTAATGGGAGCTGGTGGATCACCAGCAGTAAAATACCTCAGAGCCCACACTGAGTGAGGCCCAAGTGCATGCGGCAGAAGGGAGACTGATTTTCCTTGCCCTCAGCCCTCGCAGCCATCCAGTAAAGCAGGTATCATCTCCCTCGTTTCCCAGGTGAGGAAATCGAGATTCAGGGGTACGCACTGGCCGGGGGCCACAAGCCCACAGCAGAGCCCAGACCGGAAGGAGTCTGTAGGACACTTTCTCTCAGGTGTCCTGCCCACTTCTGCCTCGGCCCAACAACAGCACACACTCTGAGACGGCTTTACTGGTACTCACCCCTGTAATTCCGGTTTGATAAGTTAGGAAACTGAGGCACAGAGAAGTTAGCGACTTGCCTGAGGTCAAGAGCTAGCACTGGAACTCAGGCAGTCTTGCTCCAGAATTCACTAAGCTGCACAGCCTCTAGGAGGGAGGACGGAGGGAAGAAGGAAGGATGGGATAGACATGGTAGATGGGTCCAAGGTAACAAACTAGAGTATACCCGTATGACAAGTAAACAGATAAACAGATTTCTTGAGGGCAATAGGAGGGAGACTGGCACGGTTGGAGGAGAGGGGGGAGGCTGTTCGGTGGGCCCAGGCAGAGGCTTCCCTTGGGAGAAGAATTTGGGGAAAAGTATGGTGGGGGTCACCTTGTGCAGGCCTCGACAGTGCAGTAGTGCCACCAATTGGTGGAAGTTTCCTTCAGTCACGTTCAGCGTCTCTTCCAAGGACAGCAGAGGCTTCTGCGGTGGGAGGGAGGTGGTTATCCCAAGGACTCCTCAGCCCCTACTCCTCCCTGCCTGCGCCCCGCCCACAGCCACCGAGCCGCCCACCCATACCCACGGTCACGCCCACCGACCCACTCCTTCCCTCAGGCTCTGTCCCTTCCCCGAGAGGTGTAGGGAGAGCGCCTGGCCCGCTGACCTGCGCGGAAGGAAACTGGGGCACAGCTTCTCGCTCCAGGCCCTGCAGCTGGGAGTGGATGTTGGCCAGAGCTCGCTGGGACAGAGTCAGCCTCTGCGGGAAGGCAGGAGGGAAGAGGACCCAGTGGTGCACGCCCCCAGCCCACTCCAGTCTGGGGACACAGGACTGGAGCCCCTGGCGCCTACATCCTCCCCCAGAACCCCTAAGTCTTGACCCCAGCCCCGTCCTCCGCCGCCCAGTTCCCTTGCCCGCAGCCCTAACCTGTTGAAAGGGGTTGGAGACGGCCTGGTTGCAGAGGAAATAATAGTTCAGGATGTCTGAGGCAGAAGGGGAAGAGGAGAGAAGGCGGTCAGCCTGGGCCCGGGGCCTTCCTGGAGACAGGCTAAGAGAGGGCAGGGCCTTGTCTTTCCACCCTCAGGGCCAGGGGCCCCTCCCCAGGTCAGGACTCTCCTGTGGTCCCAATGACCTGGCATCCTGAGACCAGCATCCCACCCAGCTCTTAAACTCTCCTGCTCGGGCCACAGCCCAAAACACACTGGTCTTCATACTCTCTGGGGACCCAGCTTTTGCCTTCCTCCCCTGGACTAAACTGTGCTTCCCCCAGTATCTTCAAGTGGCCAAATCCTTCATCAC